TAAAAACATTCCCAGGTGGTTCTTAATAGGCAACCAGGCTTGAGACACCTGTCTTACGATGTCTTTAACTGATTTGAAGTCTGTGATGGGTGCGTCACCATGAAGCAAAACGATCATGAAAGCAAAGCGTGGTTCCAAATTGATTATTGTTGTCGGTAGCGATCAGTATTAACCGTTTCCCCTGGTTTTAGAAGCTCATAATACAGTGGGGCCTTGACTTACGAGTGTCCCAGCTAACGAGTTTTTTGAGTTGCGAGCTAAAAATTCGGGTTACAAGCCAGCTTCAGATAGCCCCCCCGCTAGTTGGCGCAGCGAACGTCACAGTGAACCCACAACATCAGCCCAGCATCACATGTCTCACTCGTTCACTTTAAGATTTGACATACGAGTAATTTGAGTTACGAGCTCCGTCACAGAACGAATTAAACTCGTAAGTCAAGGCCCCACTGTACACCACACCTTCCTGATCCCACCAAACGCAGAGCATTGTCTTCTTTCCGAAGCGATTTGGCCTTGCAGTTGATGTTGATGTTGACCTGGATCAACCCATGATTTTGTGCGTTTGGGATTCTCAGAATAAATCCACTTTTCATCGCCAGTCACAATTCGATGCAAAAAAGACTTTCTTTCGTGCCGCTGAAGCAACATTTTACTGATGACTTTCCGGTTTTCCATTTGTCTTTCGTTCAGTTGATGAGGCACCCATTTTCCTTCCTTTAAAATCTTTCCCATTGCTTGTAAATGATTGGAAATTGTTTGCTGAGCAACGTTTAATCTCTCTGCAAGTTGTCTTTGAGTTTAACACGCATCTTCATCCAATAATGCTTGTAATTGTTGGTCTTCAAACTTTTTCGGTTGACCTGGATGTTCTTTGTCTTTCACATCGAAATCACTTTCGAAGCGTTTAAGCCAGCGTTCACAAGTACCTTGAGATGGAGCATGTTCACCATAAGCTTCCCGAAGTATTCGGCAGCACTTTTCTTCAAAATAATGAATTAAAACTTCCCGCAAATGCTCTTTTTTTGGCACGAAATTCGACATTTTAAGCATAAAAATATCTATGATGTCAACACATTCAGCAAATTTGACATATGAAGTTTTGAAGCTTGTTGTCAATACAACGAAATAGCATACCTATCAAATCGCATATATATCAACATATGTGTAACTCCATCTATTGAAAAAAATCCGCATTAGTAACCGGTACACCTAGTAATGACTCTCCCCAATGCCCACGGAGGCTGTGCTCTTCACCATGGGATTCTGGGCCCCAGGGGAATTCTGGGAGTTCTGGGGAGGCCTGCCTGGGGGTGAGGATATAGTGTTAGCAAAGGCAGACAGGTAAGCAGGAGCAAGAGGTGGACGAATGGGCTGCGGGGCCTAGTTAGGGAAGGAGGCTGGAGAGATGGGCCTCTGGTGGGTTGGGAGCCTTGAATGCTGAGAAGGGGACTTTAAACCTGAAACAAAGGCCCTCTCCAGAGGGGATGGTAAAGCCAAGCCACAGTCTTGGCATCCAGCGTCAGCAACCTTTCCTCCCACAGCCAAAGACAGCAGCATCCCCAAGCGCAAGAGGAAGCGGGTCTCCGAAGGGAACTCGGTCTCCTCTTCCTCCTCGTCTTCCTCTTCCTCGTCCTCCAACCCGGAGTCCGTGGCATCCACCAACCAGATCTCACTCGTGGTAAAGTTGCACAGATCTGGACCTGACCACTCTTCTTTCTGGCCTTCGCCCTGCACGCGGGCAGGGCCATCCACTGTTGGGTGTGGGTTTGGGGTGCGGGGAGGCACTGGACTCTGAGTGGGCTCCACAGCCCGGGGTTGCAGACACAACTGCCTGATCTACCCACAAGGTAGTCCACCCCTCTCATCGGGACCTCACAGTTGCCCGGCAGACAATCACTTTCCCACTGACAAGCCAAGGCTGAGAGAGGAAAAGAGCCTGTCCACTCCCCTGGGCAGTACCCAAGCAGGATCCCTAGCAGAGGCCCAGTTTTTTGGGCCAGTCAGATACTAAGCTAATCTCTGTGCTCACATCTCGAGCTCCAGGCCCAGCACAGCCCTGGGAGATGAGGGTGCTATCCACAGTGTGGCCTCACTACCATCAGTGGTGGGTGGAGAACCGCCTGCAAAGCTCCGCCTGCTCTGCCATGTGGCTGGCTTTGGTTTTCTCCCACCCAAGAGGGAAACCTCATTAGGGGCATACGCTGGAGAGTTCTTTCTGATTTCAAAATATTACCTTTGAAATCCTGAGTCCAAATGGGAAGAATATTGGAACACATTTAGAAAAGATTTTTTTTTTAGGTGCAATGGAAATACGTTATATTAGTTTCAGGTGTACAACATAATGACCCAATATTTGTATATATTGTGAAATGATCACCACAATAAGTGGTTAACAGACATAGTTATAGAATTTTTTTCCTATAGATTTCAGGATTTCTTTACCCTTTGACCATGTTTCCCTTCATTCCGTTCCTGGGAAACCCCAACGTTCAGGCTATACCTTTCTCACTACCTGGGTATGTGAGTGCCCACAGAGGGTTACTAGCTCCCCCAGGACAGCTTCTTGGGAGCGTGAGGCCTAGAGGGGGCTGTTTATGGGAGTTCTGAGCCAATCCCTAGCTCCCTCTGGCCCTCATGCCTGGTCCACACGATCAGTCCCTGAGACACAAGTGGGAACAGGTCAGAAGGCTCCAGCCCAGGTTCCATGGCTACTGATGAACTGTGTGACCTTGGACGGGTCATGTCTCCTCTCTGGGCCTTCAGCAGCCTCGAAATAAGAGCATCCGAGGAACCCCTTCAGAAAGCGGAGCTAAGGGTTCTGGTGTTCTTTCTACGTCACCTGGAATCCTAACCGGGACCGTTTGTCCCCCTCTCTCTAGCAATGGCCAATGTACATGGTGGACTATGCCGGCCTGAACGTGCAGCTGCCGGGACCTCTGAATTACTAGACCTCAGTGCTGAATCAGGACCTCACTCAGAAAGACTAAAGGAAATGTAATTTATGTACAAAGTGTATATTCGGATATGTATCGATGCCTTTTAGTTTTTCCAATGATTTTTACACTATATTCCTGCCACCAAGGCCTTTTTAAATAAGTAAAAAAAAAAAAAAAAAATTGCCTTTGCGTCTTCTCTTTTGGAATCGCGGCTGCAGCCGTCCCTAGAACGAGGTCAGGAAACCCCGCTCAGATGGCCTGCCAACACCCTCCTTCCTTGCCAAAGTAGTAGTGGTGTCCCTGACCACTGGGCTCTGGTGTCTGGGTACAGCCTCCATTTCCCTGCTGCTGTGCCCACGTGACCTCAGGAAGAGGGGCCTTGGAAGGCCAAGTGCCCAGACCAGGCCCCACAGTGTGCTAGGGGGCTGTCTTGGCCCCAATAATTCAGGTGAAGAGAAACTTGCCAAGTATGATCATGAAGTGTGGGCTCTCCATGGCTGGAGGGAGGGAAGGCATCTTGGAGAAGGGGCTTGGGTTGGGCCTGGAGGGTAGGGTGGGTTTTCTATAGAGTTCAGGGTGTTTGAACAGCAGAATGATGGGTCATATTCGCGTCTCAGGAAGACTGCTTTGGTGGCAGACAGAAAGGTGGGAGACGGGGTCAGACTAGAGGCAGAAACACCAGTCATAGGGCCTGGCACGCTGGGGCTGCTCATTCACTCCTGGTGGGGAAGGTGGGTGTGTGAACGGGGGTCCTGATGAGGAAGGGCAGGGTACCTGGGCGCACAGGCAGGGCGACCTCCCTAGTGCAGAATCAGGAAGCAGTGCCTGAAGCCGAGGCTTGAGGAGCACATCAGGAGTTGGTGGGACAACATGGGGAGAGGTGGGCAGATGGTGTTCCAGGAGGAGAGCGCCCGTGTGCAAAGGCAGGGAGGACAGACTGAGAACCCCGGCTTTCCAGGAACAGGAAGTCACTAAAGCAGGGGGCTGGAGGAGAGTGGCAGGAGGTGAGATAGAGGCGGGGGGCAGGCAGCAGGCTGTGAACAGGTGCTGCACTGAGGGGTGGCCCAGCAGTACACTCTGGGGCCAGGATTCAACCTTTTTCTCCCAGGCTTATGGGGGAAGGGCAGGGAGGCAGAGCTGGGAGTACCAGGGGAGCAGGGGGAGAGCCATGACCAGAACCACATTTTGTAAGGGTCCGCCTTCCTGCAGAGAGGAAAGGTCAGAGGTGAGAGAAGCTGGAAGACCTCGTGGGAGGCTCTTCAGTTTTTCCAGCAAGAGCTGGCAGTGGTTTGGCCAGGTGGGAGAATAACCAGGTCAGCCAACAACTTGAAGGTCAATTGGTCTGCAGCGCTGGGGTGTCGAGGGGTCAGGGTGACCATAGATCCAGCCAAGATACAGCAAGAGGCCTCGGACTTGGAGGAACTGGGTTGGAGTCAGCTGAGTACATGATCCAAACAGCCCAGTAGCTTCTGCTAGCCCTCTGGGTCAGCCCAGCCCCGAGCTGGGAGGGAAGGCTTCCCAGCCTTCCGGACTCCGCTTCCTCCTGGAAAGATGATGGAAGAAGCCAGAGACCACAGGCTTGGCACACCCCACCCAAACGATTCCTCTTTCCGCTGGGGTCACCACCTCCCTCCCACATCCCAGTGGCTCCCACTCCATCCTCAAGCCCAGGTCTTCTCTCTCCAGGATCAGGGGGAGGTCGACCCCCTACACCGACCACCACCCTCAAGGCAGAAACTGCCCATGAAATAAAGGCAGCCCAGCAGCTGACACCTTGCCTTCAGCCCGTCCAACCCTGCCGCTCCCTGAATTAAAACCTCCCTGCTTCTCCGACCCCACAGCACTGAGTGCAAACTTCTCACCCCGGCGTTCCAGGCTCCTCCTGGTCTGCCCGCACCCCTGCCTCGCATCCCACGGCCTGTCCCCCGTCTTGCCCACGGCAGTCACCGCTCAGTGAGCGGCTGCGGCCTGGGCACCCGCCTCCCGCGGCGTCCCGGGGCTCCCCCCCACCCCGCAGCCAACCCTCCCAGCCGGCTGGCGCCTCTCCGTCGTCTAGACTAGAGCCGACCCTGGCCGCCTCCGCCCGACGCTCAGATCGGCCGCCAGAGCCGGAAGTGGGTCCCCGCGGGGCGGGGAGGGCGGGGAGCCCGGGGAAGAGCCTTGGACACCGATCCAGGGACGTGGAGTGCAGAGCCCGCCCCCCCATTGGTCTCTTTTCACTATGGACGCGTGCAATGAAGCGGGTTGGTGCAGCAAACCTCCTCGCCTTGGGGCCCGGCCTCATTCCATACACTTAGAAGGGGATCCCCCCACCCCGGTCAAAGCTCTTGAACTGCGTCGGCTTCCCCTCCGGTCCGGGAGCTCTGGGCTTTGGGGGCGTGTCCGGGCTTAGGGCAGAGGATAGAGGACGACTTGGCGCCGGCCCGCCCGCTTGTTTTGCTCGGCCCCGATCCGATGGGGTCGGCTTCCCGAGTGTTCTCCTCGCAAGCACCCCCTGCTTCCAGCAGAACAGCCAGATGCTGTTTATGCAGCCTCCCCGGAATCTCAGTGTACTGTACTTTTTAAAGGGATTTGATTCAAAGCACTCATTCTTTAATTAAACTTCATTTAGCTGCCATCTGTCTGGGTTCAAAATGGCTTCGTGTTTTGCAACTCTAAATGCGAATTGTTATTGGATTTGTAAACACATCCACACACAAAAATCACAAAACACTTTCAAAAAAGTACTAAATGAGGCATGTGCGGAAGGAGTGTGAGGAGCTGCATCTTAAACATTCTAATTGCTGGGGGAATGCATTCTGGTGGGTACATAATCATTTTATATACAAATCTTTGTATAAAAATCTGGTATCAATGAAAAGATCGAGATTATAGAAAATGCCAGAATTATATCCGACTGAAAACAGTAATAAAGCAATAATCAGCAGAGGGACAAAGCCAGGGTGAGGCTCCTGGGGAGGGGGAGGCGGGAGGGAGGGGAGACGATGGAGGGCTGGCAGCTCTCGCTGCACCTGCTCCCATCCCAAAGCCTCCCTCCTGCCCAGGTGCCTCCCTGCTGCAAAAATGAGGTGGGCAACGAAGCGCCAGTGGCTGGAGCTTCATAACAACCCTGTGAGATACCTTTTTATTTTTTTTTTAAAGAGGTCAACATTTTATTCATGATGGTCTACTGCCCCAAATGTGGAGGGCTCCCTCGCTCTCACCTGGCCCAGGCAAAGAAGGAGAACGAAGAGACAAGATGGAGAGCAATGATAGCCCCTCTTTTAAGCCTCGTGTTGTGGTTCAATGAAAGGCGCGTGCTTTGGGGAAAATGACATTAAAAATTTTTCCGTGGAGAAACGGAGACATGAAGACAGTAAAGGAACAGGACTGGAGGCTGTGGTCTCCGGGCAGACAGCTCTTAGGGTGCAAGCCCTGCTCTTGCTGGCAACGTGCTGGGTGACTGAGGTCTGAGGATACAGAGTGGGATTGCGAAGAAGCCGAGGTGTGGAGTGAAGCAGGACTCCAACCACCCCAGACTCTGCATGATTTGGCCCCTGCCCCACGCTTCTCTGGTCTCCTTGTGGGCCGTCTCCACAGCACCGCCTTCCTGTCACTCGGGGTTGGGGGTCCTTCTTCCATTTCCTCAAAACGGCCTTCTTCCCAACTCATATGGCTGCTCCTTCCTCTTTTACTTTCACTGAAATATCATTGAATGCCCGTTCCTCCCAGAGACCTTTCCAGAGCACCTAGTCTAAAGTGGACGCCCCACCTCATGGTTTTCCAATTTCATGTCCTCTTTAAAATATGTTATTACTACCATGTGTAATACTGTCTTCTGTGCAGTTGTTTTCTGGCTGTCGGCCTTGCTTTATTTAGCTTTATGATGCCAGGCACGGTGTCCCTCTGCTCACTGTTACAGCCTAACACCTACCATAGACAGGGGATACGGGAGTCACTCACTAAATGTGAGCCAGCCACACAGATGCCTGAATCCGCTACACCTGTGTCCACAGAGAACAGAAAATCAGTACTCCCTTCACTGTACATCCTCCTTCCAATGTCTCCCTCTTTCCAGATCTTGCATTCGCTGTATCCCACCCCCACGAACTGCTTTCAGGGCAGAAGCAAATGCAGTCCAGCAGGACGAGACTTTTTACCTAAAACTCATCTCATAGATATGAGATGATAGAAATAGCAGTGGGAATGTCATGGGCAGAAATAGAATAGTGGGGACTAACGTTATTATAAGAAATATTAATCATGCTCTTTTCATTGTGATTGCTCTGTTCTCGTTAGAGGAAGCACATTCTAACCTGGCTGAGCGTTATAGGCCCCAGGACCTGGGAGCTAACCTCAGAATGCAGTCCATTCTCCTTTTCTGAGAACTGCCTGTCATCTTGGAACGATTAACAACCTTGTTGCTGAAACTATCTTGTCCCTGAGGTTCCTGCCCTTTGTGACCCCCAGCCTGCATGGCCTGTGACCTGTAGCCATTGTACCTTGCCTACTTCCCCATGCCTGTAAGTCCTACTTTCCCATGTAATCTGTGTCCTTCTACCCAATATAATCAGCTAGTTTATGGCGGGGGAGGGGGAAGTAAGAGCAGATTTCTGTGGATGACCTGCTGCTCTCCCATGCTGCCGGCCTTATTAGAATAAACACTCATACATGATTCAACCTTGTCTCTGCTTAATTGGCTCAAGTAGTGACAGGCAGCCTAGGCCCGTTCATTGTCCGGTTTCACAATGATTCCAGACACCTTGCCCCCACCCAGGATCCATGTATAAGGAAACCATGACTGGTGCCTCTGCCTCTATTTCCACCATTAAACTTGCTTTCTTTATTTCTGGTTAAGTGTTTGGACTCCAGAAGCTCTAGATTTCAACATCAATGTCCCCGAGACAGCCCACGTAAGATGCAGAAAATGGGACCCAGGATACATTCTAGGGGCCGGAAGAGGGAGAGTAGGCCACTACTGGAGGTACCAAAAACATTCTGTCTTGCTTACACGTTTGCAGTTAATAGTAAAAACAACTGCTGTATACTTAATGTCTACAATGTCACAGCCATTAGGCAAGACTTTTGTGTGCAATATTAATCCTCAAGCCCTGCAAAGTAAATATTATTTCTTCCATTAACAGATGAAGAATCTGAGGTTCAGAAAGATCAAGGGCCATATCCAAGGTTACACAGCCAGGAAA